CTACCTAGGCATTCAGTAATAACAACCAGACCAGATGAAGTGATCACAGGGACATAGCCTGACTCGATAATCAGGACTGAAGTGCTGATAGATTAAGGTGCTGTGTTTTCACTGCCTTGACAGGCAAGTTTCTTGCAAACTGCCTTCCAAACACAGGCTAAATCTGATGACACATTAGGCTGGAGCAGAGTCAATTGACCATTTACGTCTAGGTGATGAGTGTGCTTTAGTGTGGGCAGGGAAGGAAACTCTTAATAAAGGACACAAACTACTGTTTAGACCAAAGCAAAAGCCCTCCACCAACTAGTGGCTCTAACTGAGGTGACTTTTAATGTATCATGAAACCACTAGGCCAAAAGCTGTTTAAGTTAAGCAGATGTCTTCAATCATGGTTGGTTAATCCAGTTTGTGTTATGAATTATTTGATTAGCCTCCCATTTAACCCATTGGTGAGACAATTACCACCCTAGGGCTACTAGAACAGCTAAACCCATGGCACCAATCATTGGACAGACAAGATTGACAGCAGTTATTCATTACATGTTATCATGGAAGGAGGAAAGTACTGTATGGTAAACAGACCCACGCAGGGATTGCACTCGGGAGCAGACACAGGAGGTGTCAGGCGAAGGCTTTATAGTATCAAGAGTGTGAGCTGTTCCTGGTTCCCACAGTAGGTTGTTATTGGTTGGTCTGAATAATTCTGTGATCTTGGGAGAAACTAAAACACATTATGTTACCAACTGCTAAGACTACAATAATATACTATAGTAGTGTAACACTATAGTTAGTATTATAGCCTATGTACTATATACTATAATTAACTCTCATTTATATTAATTAACCAACGGTAAAATTGTTTCATTATATAGTACATTATTTTACTTAAAGTGGCAGTTGCCAAGAATCTATCAATGACATAAAGCGAGCACTTACTGAACATATATTTTAGCGATGCGTAATAGAAAGAAGCTATATAAAATATACTGTATAAAGTATACTATTCATGTAAAAAACTACATGATCTACACATTAGTCATGAACCAAATAACAATGTTCTGGAAATAGAGAGACCATATATATATAACCTATATAACCTTGCTTTTTCATAAATAGATATATGTAAACCTACCTTAAAGGCCAAGGGTGTTGAGAGGATAAAGAAAGAGGCTGACAAAGGAATATCTTAGAAAGAAACACTTAAGAGAGACCTATGAATAAAAACTATGTCTCAGATGGCTAAACATGGTCAATCATTGCACTGTTGTCCTCTAAACCCAGACACTTATCAAAGAAAAGGACTGTGTAGGAAAATTGAAATTCCTATATAAATTTCACTGGCCGGGCACAGTGGCTCATGCCTGTTCATAGCAGCACTTTGGGAGGCCGAGGCAGGTGGATCACAAGGTCAAGAAATCAAGACCTTTCTGACCAACACAGTGAAACCCCGTCCAAAAGAAAAAAAACATAAATCAATAAATAAAAACAAATTTGCCTGCGAGTAACATTTATGCTAAGTACCTGTTCACAATAACATCAAGATTGTTTTGACTTAAGGGTAGGGCCTACAGGAATAGTTGGTTTCAATATATAACACAGATACTTGAAACCCCTCAAAAAAACAGAGAAAGTACCTATATCATAATTTTACTTTTTTTAGTAATTTAAAATATTGAAGTCTTGTTAACTAATCTTAAATTTCTCAATAAAAAATAGTATTACTAAGCCTTAAAATTATAGTTTTAAGACAGTTTTTACCCCAGCACCAATGATTGAATAATAGGGTTCTAGGCCCTTCTCCTTTGGGTTCTGAGTGACTGAAGATGTGAACCTACTCTTACCAAATGAGGACAGAGTAAAGTTCCTATTTGCAGCTATTTTCAGGCAGGACTTTCTCTTTATGCTGAAGCCAGGCCCTCACTGTGATATATTTTCATTTTACCTTGTATGTAAGGTTATTTTTATTTATAAATTTTATAAATTATACAAAATTTTTTATATGTGTATATAGATACACATATGAAAATACATATACATATATATATATATTTGTCACCAGATGTGATGGATCGCATTTGTAATCCTAAAACTTTTGTTGGCTGAAGGGAGAAGAGCTTTTGAAATCAGGAGTTCGAGACCAGCCTGGGCAACATAAGGTAAAAGCCACGCATCCCACTTTTTCTACAAAACATTGAAAAAATTAGCCACGTGTGGTCAAGCATGTCTGTGGTTCCAGCTACTTGGAAGACTGAGGTGGGAGGGTCATTTGAGCCTAGGAGGTAGAGACTTCAGTGAGCTGAGATTAGGCTACTGCACTCCAGTCTGGGCATCAGAGCAAAATCCTTTCTTTTTCCATCGTTTTTTTCCCTCACTCTGTGCTTGTGTGGAGCGTGTGTGTGTGTGTGTGTGTGTGTGTGTGTGTGTGTGTATTATTCAAAATGAAAACAATATAAAATTTTTTATTTTTATTTTTTTGAGACAGAGTCTCACTCTGTCACTCAGGCTGGAGTACAGTGGTGTGATCTTGGCTCACTGAAACCCCCGCCACCCAGATTCAAGTGATTCTCTACCTTTGCCTCCCAAGTAGCTGGGATTAACGGCACCAACCACTTAGCCTGGCTAATATTTGTACTTTTATTTGAGACAGGGTTTTGTCATGTGGCCCAGGATGGTTTTGAACTCCTGAGCTCAAGTGATTGATCCACCTTGGCCTCCCAAAGTGCTGGGATTACAGGCATGAGCCATCGTGCCTGGCCAATGAAAATTATTTTCAAATTTTAGATTTTACAGTCTTTCTGTCCTCTTGGCTTTTGAGTCAGCCTGAGCTTTGAAAATGGGCAATCTGCTACTGTAGCAATGTGCACTAGAAGTAAAATGTGAGCCACGTGTGTCAGTTAAAATCTTCTAGTAGCAGCATAAAGAAAAAAAATGAGTGAAATTGATTTTATTAACAACCCAATCTATCCAAAATGTTTTAACATATAATCAGAATTAAATTATTAAAGATATATATGTAAAATTAAATCTTTAAAATACTTTTTTGTATTTTTTCTTAGCATATCTCAGTTCATACTGTGAACAATGCAGGTGCTCAGTAGCCCCTGTGGCCAGTGGCTGCCTCATTGCAAGTGCATCTCTGAGGGCTCTGACTTTTTTGACCTAAGGGAGGTGAAGGGCCTGAATCCTCCTTTCCTGCCAGATGGTGGTAAATGCTCCTTCTCTGCCAATATGTCTCCTGTTTCAAGAGTAAGAGAGGTGGTGCCCTGAGAGACAAGAGGAACTTACAAGAAACAACTGTTCACAGGTAGCAGTGCTGTCCACTGCTGCTTGGTGTGGACTCATCACTCCTCAAGAGGTCAGAGAGCAGTCAAAAAAGACAGGGCCCCAGAAGGGGGAAACCTCATGGTTTTAGATTTTTTCATAGCCTTCACATCCAGAGTTTAGATGTCAAAAGACTGGATTAAAGAAAAAGATTTTAGCTTATAATTTGGCCTTGACAAATCAAAGTAGAAAGAAATAAAAACATGTCCCATACAAATAATTTAAACACCGAGGAAGTCATTAAGCACAGAAAAGAGGAGAAAATAGCTGCAAGAAACAAACAGAACTTTTAACAAAATGGAAATAGTTCATTATTTTCAGAATTAAAATGAACATATACATGAAGTAAAATTTCCAATACAAACATGTAAATTGGCTAAAGAGATTTTAAAAAACAACAAGATTTATTTTCTGTGCCTATAAGAAACTCACTTTAGATCTAGCATACAAACAGGCTAAAAGTGGCAGTATCAAAAAATACCTTGCAGGAGAATTGCAATCAAATGACAGCAAGCGTGGTCATAATTATGCAAAATACACACTAAGTCAAAACTGAAACAAGAGACAAAGAAAGCTATGATATAATGACAAAAGTGTTGATTCACTGGGGAAGCTGTATTAGTAGTAAAAACATGCACATTTCACAACAGGGTTCCCAAACGTATAAAGCTAACATTGACACAAATGAAGAAAGAAATAGCTATGCAAAAATAATAAGCCACATAATTACTCCACTATTCGTAAAGAATAACAAAACTAGGCAGAATGCTAACATGAGAACAGAGGATTTGAATAACACTGCAAACTCTGTGATCGTAAAAGACATATAGAAAACACTAGTCGCAGTGAATAAAAGTGAAAAACAAAACAAAACAAAAGACACTCTACACAACAACATCAGAATACACAATCTTTTCAATAGAACATGAAACATTCTCCTAGGTGAATGAACTATTAGGACAGAAGATAAGTTTTACTAAGTTTTAAAATATTAAAATATGGACCAGGCATGGTGGCTCATGCCTATAATTCTAGCATTTTGGGAAGCTGAGGTGAGAGGATTAACTGAGTTTATGAGTTCAAGGCCAGCATGGACAACATAGGGAGACCTTGTCTCTACGAAATATAAAATTAACAATAACAACAAAAAAATAGCTGAGCATGATGGCACATGCCTGTGAGTCTAGCTACTCAGGAGGCTGAGGTGGGAGGATTGCTTGAGTCTGTGAGATTGAGGCTGTGATTAGCCACGAATGAACCACTGTGCTCCAGCCTGAGCAACAGAGCAAAACCCTGTCTCAAAAAAAAATTAAAATATTACAAACTATTATTTTTTATTAAAAGGGAATAAAATTAGAAATCAATAGCTAAAGAAATACTGAAAAATCTACAAATAGCTGGAAATGAACACACTCTTGAGGATGCTCTTGTTCAGGGGTTAGAAGACAGTATTGTGAAGACATCCACACTACCCAAACTCATGTGAAGTTTCATGCACTCTCTATTAAATTTTAACTGTCATTTCATTTTGCAGAAATACAAAAAATAATTAAATTTATATGGAATCTAAAGGGAGTATAAAGAGCCAAACAACCTTCAATAAAAAAAATAAAATTGGAGGCATCACACCACTTGACTTCATAATATATTATAAAACTATAGTAACCAAACTATTTGTTTTTGTTTTTGTTTTTTCCAAAGAAGTGCTTTAATTTATTTACAGGGCTTAGGAAAGGAAAAAAGCTCTAAAAAAGGAAAATTTCAAAACAGGGCTTCAGCAAGGACCCAGGAGAGTGAGTTGTTTTGATAAGGTCTGGGTTGGAGTCACTTCCAGGTGGTGAGGACGGTTCTCCCTGAGTCTCTCGATTGGCCTGCTCTGGGCCCCTGAGACTGGCCCTGACGACTTCTCAGTTCCCGGTCGGCCCCGTCACCCTGGGCCAGTTCTTCATCGTGCAGAATCTTGTAATTGCCAAGGACTTCCTTTGGGGGCGACTTGTTCCATTTGCAGTCTGGAATTTCGCCGTTGGGGACGGCAATGTTGAGGGTGTCATTAATCAGGTTATACTTGAGGATTTGATCGTTGGCACTGCTGGAGGTGAGCGACGGGGACGCGTTCGCCTCGATCAGCCAGGGCTTCAGCTTGTCTTCAATGATGATGTCGTAGCCATAACATTCAAAGCAGTGCTTGTCATTGTTCATCACCGGCGCCACGGCCTTCAGGGACTGTACGATGATCCAGTGGATCTCGTCGAACAGCTTGCTGGTCACCTCCTTGCCACGGGTGCTCTCCAGGTAGAGCCGCAAGTTGCTGACTGTCCACTTGTCCCCGTGGATGTGGTTGTAGTCGTCCCCGTGTTTCTGGATGGCAACGTTGGTGAGATGAACGAACATGTTGTCCAGCTCACTGGTACTCGGGCTGTATTTCACTGTGCAAAACCGGCAAAACCCAAGCTTATACATGTAACAGCGCAGTGGACGGTACGTAGACACCAGAACTAACAAGCGCAGGTCGAACTTCTTCCCGCCAATTAGTAAAGGGTTGTTAATACAGAGAGAGATCATGTAGGCTTCTTTATTAGATTGAGACACAAACGAAGACGTCTTGCTGTCCTGGGACCACTTTTTGATCTGTGAGAGCTTGTTGATTAGGAAGATGCCCTTTCCCTGGGCCTTGCCACAAGGCTTCATGATCCAGGTGCTGGACGGGCTCTTTTGGAACTCCTCTACGAACAGGTTATGGTCAGCGGGCAGCCCGTAGGTAATTGGAACAAAGTCCAGATAGAGGTATTTTCCATTTTCGTCCTTTTCTGCAAGAGGACTCCTTTCTCTAGCTCCTTCCTGTATCTTTTGATGTTCTTCACCATCAGATCCTTCTGGGTCCTTTCATAGTGGTTTGGAAAATGGTCGACTATTTGATAGTCTGAGAGCAGATATCCAGTTTCGACACTGAACACATTTCGGATGGTTTGCACGCTCATCCAGTACAAATTCCAATCCTCATTTTCTGTCACTTGGACCCATCCTGTCTTCTCAAAGTTATTGATCAGCACTGACTTCTCGATATCAGTGACCCATTTTACTTTTCCTGCCATAATCCTGCAGATACAGGGCCACGCCAATGGCTCAGGCAACTTTTCGTTTTCACTACTCGATTTCATCCTCCACAGCTCTGAATCCCTGACGAATTCTACTAGCGGCCTGGGGACCCCCGACCACCACCATCCAGGCTGCGTGGTTCACACGCTGTACTTAAAACAAGCATCTTAGTGGGTGACTTCACACCAACCACTGACTTCTTCCATAGGCACTGACAGAGCACCACTGGCAACGCCCACGTTCACCTCAGTGTTACTGACGTCACTCACACTGGCCCCTCCTTCTTCCCTGTGGGCTTGGAGCGCTGAGAGGCTCGGAGGAGCGCCTTGCATAGTTGCCTCCAGCCGCAGCCCCCGCCCCACCTCCAGCCTCTCTCGCTCGCAGCAGGAGGCAGCCGGCAGCCTGGTGGACCTGCCCGCCCCGCCCCGTCCCTCCCTGCCCCTCCCCGCGCCCGCACCCAAACTGATACTGACATAAAGGCAGGCAAACAGACCAATGGAACAGAATAGACCACAGAAATAAACTCACAAATATATGGCCAAATGAAGAGTTATTTGTGTATCCATATTCATTGTGACATTACTCACAACAGCTAATATGTGGGAGCAACCCAAATGTCCCTCAATGAATGAGTGAATAAAGACAATTTAGAATATACAAATAATGGAATATTCAGTTTTTTTAAAGCAGGAAATCTATTTTTACACTAAAAATACATCTTGAGGACATTATGTAAATAAAATAAACCAGTCACAAAAGTACGCTCACTGTGTGATTCCAGCTAAATAAGACATCTAAAGTAAACTCCTAGAAACAGAAAGTAGAATAGTATCCATCAGAGCCTTAGAGGAGGAGATAAAGGGGTAGTTGTTCTTTCATGGACATTGAATTTTAGTTTTGCAACATACAAACGTTCTAGAGATATCTTGAAACTCTTTCACTGACTGTGAAACAGGGGGACAAACAGACTCTTTAACAAATAGGGTTACAAAACTAAATATTAAATGGAAGAAAATGAAAGACTTTTCACTTGCACCATATACAAAAATACCTTAAATAAACATTTAGGCCATGCACAGTAACTCATGCCTATAATCCCAGCACTTTGGCAGGCTGAGGTGGGTGGATCACTTGAGGTCAGGAGTTCGAGATTATCCTGACCAACATGGAGAAACCCCATCTCTACCAAAAATACAAAATAAGCCAGGTGTGGTGGTGCATGTCTGTAATTCCGGCTACTCAAGAAGCTGAGGCAGGAGAATTACTCGAACCCAGGAAGCATAGGTTGCAGTGAGCCGAGATGGTGCCATTGTACTCCAGCCTGGACGACAGAGTGATCAAAAA